AGAAATTACATTGGATGGCTTTGAGTTTAATATTGAACCATGCTACACTTACACCAAAATTTGTTCCTAAACTTATACCAAAGGTATACACCAAGATTTTGATGGTTCACACTAACTCAAAGAGTTGGTGCGTTAACAAAAATTTACATTAACACAAAGTGTTGGTGCGTTAATAAATATTAGTATTACACCAACATAAAATGTTGGGGCACACTTGCGGTGTACAAATGGGATACAAACGCTTGGGCTACAAATAGCCTTATCATGTAATTTTATATCAAATTCATTCTTAAACGGGCTAGGAGTCACGTACGTAAGGAAATTTAAATAAAATCCTGAATATTTTGTTCTTTCAAGTTTTAGAAATCACCTTAAATTGGACTAAAACATAGAGAAATGTACCAAAATAGGACTTTCATTTTTTCCCGAAATAGGACTTCACACTATGATAATGTAGTTGTAACGTGGCAGTCCAGGGCCGGTCCCGAAAAATGAAAAAATAAAATTGGCCCGGTCCAAAATTTACATTTTGTGCCCTATTTTATATTTTTAGAATACTTTTGCTTTAAAATTATTAATAAATTTAAAAATATGGTGCCCTAAATTTTAAGGTGCCCTGTGCGGTTGACCACTTTGCACACCCTTCGGGCCTCCCATGCGTGGCACTTTACATGTGCGCATTACTATACTTTTTGGTAATGTACATGTCCATGTTTGGTATAAATGAATTTTAAATCCTATTTTGGGAATTAAAACATGAAAGTCCTTTTTTGTATATTTTCCTTGTTTTAGTCCTCTACTTTGGTCTTTCTCCCTTCAAGTTTCAACCCTATTTTTTATTACTACTTAGAGCTGTGTTTTGCACGAACTTGTACTCCGTATATATATTTCTTTACATTTTATTGACTCTATAACAATATATTACTATTTATAGATTTATCTACCTAATAAAAATGCTAGAATGACAAATAGAATAGTCAGAAAGTTCACAAATATATTAAATGAAGACTTTTTTAAAAAAAATCTAAATGATCTTAAATAAATTAAAAAGTGAAAACTTAAATTCAAATACGGCAAATTTGTGAACTTTGTGACAATTCTGTTGGAGACTCTACCATATCCCTTTCAAAAATAAATTTGGTATACAGAAATTTGTTGTCACTATACTCAACCCCTTTTAAGAAACTATATTATCACTCTTTAGTGCTCCTTATGTATCTCAAAACAGTTCCCATTTTTACTAATGGTTAAAATAAAGAGTGTATACTTATTATTGACTTTCTAATTTTTCTCTTACTTAATGTGATAGAAGTAAAATGTGATAGATAAGTTATTAGTGAAAAAGTATGATGTGATGGGTAATGAATGAAAAAGTAAAGGGAGTGGGGTTTTAATAGAATGTAGATGTGTTTTGGAAAGAGAGAAAAAAATGAGAGTAAAAGTGTTTTAAAAATAGAGGGAAATTATTTATGAAATAAGATTAATAAATTAATTACCCACATAATCGAAATTATAGGGTCCTGAACCGCCTCCATATATGGGGGCATGTAATTACTGTCGCCTATTTTGATCCTAACTCATGGCTTTGGAGGGCCATTAATATGCTCCGCAAGTTTTTTTCTTTCATTTTTAATAATTCATCTTTTAAATTTAAATACTTTCCATATCTAGTTTTCTATTATTAAATATTATGTTTGCAATAGTCATTTGTTTGATTTTTTGTCATATTGGAGATAAATTGAGGGGTACGTAAAAGAGTAGTTTCACATCGACTATATGTTTGGGGCATGTTTTCTAGTACGGTGCCCGTTTGACGAACAACACAACAACAATATATTTGATTGCGCACGGACTTAGATTCCGACCAGCTACGATAAATGTCGACTGTATACGGATGCAGTGGGTGAAAACTCTCGCGGATAAATGACTCAACAATACTTACCTTTGTGACTCTGTCAATGACTTTAGGATAATAATAATGTTGTGGACAAAATCTAGGATGGGTGCATACAAAATCTAGGATGGCTACGTCCTTCACGGGGATGGATCACGAAACTGTTGGGGGACGGTGTTCTTCCGTGATGCACATGTTTAAAATTGTCATAATTTTAAACTCGTATTTCAGATCCTTTGTACATTGGATTTTTCTCTTCAACCTATCCTAACGAATATAATTTTGACAACTTCGGGTGTAAAATACTAACTTAAAAGTTATCTGATTTTTATCATTCACAACTTATCTTGTTAAAATATAAATGCATTTCTGTTTTATCGTGTTTTAGTTTTAAAAAATTACGTCATCTGTCTCAATTTAAATCGTTTGTTTATGTTTACGATGTTTGGTTGAAATTTTTTCAATGCAATTTATTCGAAAGTTGAAGCGGAATTTAAAAATAAATTTTATATATTACAAAAATACATCAAAAATTCTACGAAATGAAAAGTGACATGACTAATTTTTATATCAAACGAGTCAGAAAAATAAGAAAAAAAAGTGAATAAAGTCTGATCTGATTAATAATAAATATACAATTTAGTTTAGGTAGGATAGAGGGAGTACAATATTTGAGTCTTTTTCCCTCAAGGAGCTTATTTATAAAATACG